TGGTCCAATTATATATAGTAATTTTCAGTTTCAGTTATCAACCGCACAATCAACAATGTTTTAAAACATGATTTAAACCAATTCAAAAATCATTTAAAATCATTAAAAAACGTTTTTTTGCCATCCCTAGTTATAACATCTTTTGTTACACTACAGTTGATGGTACAAAATTAAACTTCCCTTGATATGCAATTAAATTCGTAATATTACACGAACTTTAACTTTAATCAAGGTTAATATATAGTGAGCTGGTAATTGAATTTTTATATAGTACGAAAATCACCTATATCCAATCGTTATCTTACTATGCTTATCAAAGTTAAAAATTGATAACGGGACGAATTTGATTCGAGAAGCAGGTGCACCGATTATGTTGTGATCTACATACAATAAGTAATGAAAGATACTACGTAATCATTAGTATGTATTATCAATTTATTATGTAAACCAAACGTTATTACATATACTTATTATGGTAATATATATTAAGCGGGTTATTAGCCTTAATAATCTTGTACAAACTATTTCAGGAATCTATGTTCACAAGGAGAAATAGCGAAAATATGAGAAAACTGATGTTGAACCCAGCATTTAGCACTAATAAAAAATGTAATAAACGTAAGTAATTTTATGAATTACAGAAATGTCATGAACGTAATTTTATGAACAACAATGTTATTCAAAGGTTACAAAGATGAACCCTAGCATAACCTTAACATAATGTCAAGTTTATTTGGATGTGCCACACTATTTGACTGCAGTGTCGGATCCATGGTAGAGATATAAAGTACGTCCATTAATGAGCACTCAGATCCATGGTAGAGATGCAAAGTATATCCATGTGCACGTATTAAAATACAATAGGAATACATAGGAAATGCACATTTTGCCATAAAATACTATAGGGCAAGTCTATGCAAACACGTATTAATGTTTTGATAAATTTAATCAAGGTAATCCGAAAAAAACAAATCTCAAACTGCCCAGTAAATATATATAAACTATAGACCTAAAAAGCAAATTATCGGTTAATGTTACGGTCATTGTTTATCTTTTGCATAACAATCCCTTATTTTTGTTAATGATATATATACAGTATTAATATATATATATATATATATATATATATATTGATACTGTATATATTTTTATCTATTACTCTCCTAAACCATTATTAAATGACTTCTATCACTCCATTAACAGAGAAAGAATTCGCCATTGTATCTGACTTATGTGTTCCTTTAAATATCATTTCTCTCATTTCTTCAACTATTTCATGCATAACATTTGGCTTCATACGAATATACTATCCTAAACACGCAGATCGAGTTTCATTTCGTTTAAGTTTTGCGGCCTTATTCTGTGATATAGGTTATTCTAGTCATCTTTTAATTATTCTTATTTGGAATAATACTCCCGGGGCTTTTTGTAGATACATGGTAAGACATCCATAAACTTTCCTTTTCGATATTCAATAGCTTCTTTTTTGATATATTTATATATATATTTATATATTTAATTGCATTAATTTTCTTCGAATCTTTTTATATATAAGGTTTGGGCATTGGTATTTTTTCCTCTTACTTCTATGTTTTTAATCGTTTGTATAGCTTTGGTTTGTATTATCATTATATTTTTCATGTTTACATATATATATTTCACTTAACTTTTTTTCTTTTATTTTAGAACCTTCATATAATATTTGTAAACGAATATAGCAGATATAATTTTGAAAAACATTATTTTAGAATTGCATTTTCTTTTGCCCTTTTACTCTCTCTCCTTCCTTTTACCGCTAATATGTATGGTTATGATTATCCTGAAGGGTATGATATATTTTATAATGTATAGATAAGTTCTCTACAAAGTAATCTTAA